AGCATTTAGGAACTAGAGGAAAGTTGTATTTTTCATCGTTGCTACCTCGCACCTTGACTGGCTCGTCTCCTTCCCAGACCCTTCTGTAAGGGGATGACCAGTGCCCACCACCACCATCCCGCCCCCGCCATTCACAATGATAAGATTTTTTGCTCTGATGATGCCTGATACCTGATCCCTTTGGCACCTCGTGATCGCACAGGCTGGTGTGCTTCTTCCATGTGGGCTTTGATGCTTCACAGCTAGATGGCTGCTTGTTTACCTTTAAGACCCCAGACGCTATATCTTTTGATAGCTGGGCACCATCAGTTTTCTTCGCCACAGTTGCTAATTCACCCATTTGTCTTCAGCGATCGTATCAGGAAGGTGAGCACACAATGATATGATTTTTTGTTCTTTGATGCCTGATAACTGATCCCTTCGGCACTCGTGATCTCACAGGCTGATGTGCTTCCTCCAGCCTTCTCAATGGAAGCCCGAGCTCACGATCAATTCCCCCAGCATTCTGCTCTCCGACCGGGTCTTACGTCATCACAGTGCCGTCCTTTCATTGGCTAGTTGGTCAGCGGTAACGCAAGCGCACTGCGCTCCTCAAAGAGTCGTGGGTAGGCGCCATTTTGGCCCAGTGGTGCTTCTGGGAAGTAGAGCGCCTTCGGTCACTCCTGTCGGCCTTTGCGTCAAAGCGTTTGCCTCCTGCCGCGCTTGCGGTTTTGCCATCGGCTCCCCACACCTCGGGTCAGGCGGGAGACTTCGCGCACGGGTCGCTCCATCGAGGGACACTCTGCGGGAAGAAGGTGACGGGAGGGCGGCGCGGGGCGCGGACACTCCCCGCCGAGAGCCTGCCCATCATGGACTCGGAGTATTACGGCGGCGACCAGTCAGGTGGGGCTGGGCCTGAGGGTGGAGGGTCGAGGCTTGGGGGCGGAGCAAGCTCGCTGCCGGCCTCGCCGGCCTTGCGCCTCTACGGGAGAGAGAGGGAACCGCGGAGACCGGCCTCTCGGAGGAGCCGGGCACCCGGTGGGAAGTCGGCTGGCCGCGAACTCCAAAGTTAACACCTGGGAGACGGGATTCTAGCGAGAAAGCCGTCTTATGGGTCGGCTGCGGGTTTTGCTGAACCCCGGAAGCGACGTTGACTCCTTCAGCTGCGGTGTCCCAAGTGCGAGGGAAGGAGAGGTTTCTCCATTGTTAGGCGCGCTCGAGTCGGTCCCGACGCCAGGGGACACCGTGCACAACCGAACCAAACAGCCCCGGGAGCTGCGCCCCACCCACCGTCGGTCCTGTGCCTGGGGAACTTCTCAATTGTTTCCGCAACTCCAAAGGAGCTTTTCAGCGGGGGGTGAGGGGGGGATCCTGAGACCTTGTGAGATGTTGCTGTTGCGTGTCTTTGGTCGAATGCAAGTGTAATCCCCCCTGGAAATCTGGCTACCCGTTTTTTGTTTAAGTAGGACTCTTGTTTGCACTGGATACATCTTTTAGAGTAAGGAGGCATCCCTGTCAGTCATTTAGGGCGCTTTAGTGTCCTGTGTTATCCCTGAGATCTTTCTCACCAAAGTTGCCCCCTCCTCCTCCTCGTCCGCTTATTCAGTGAACTTCTCTGAGTCCCATCCTGTGATGGCACGGTGCTAGGCACTGTTGACATAAAGTTGAGTCAATCAGGGCCTAGTAGAGAAGTGTTCTATGTTCAAGAGCCGGACAGTGATTTCCAGTGGAAATGCTCGTTTGCAGTGGACATGTGTATGTGTGTATGTAAAGTGTTGGAATGATTAATGTTCAAAGGTGGAACTCTGGTCTTGACTTCACATGGATTCCATGCCCGTGGCAGTGAATATTAAAGACTACAAAAATGCATTTAAAGTCATACACTCTAATTTTGTTTTCTAATGCTTTCAAAATAGGTTTTCAATTAATTTGTTTTTAAACTGCCATAAAAAAATGATTGTATGTCATGTGATTTACAATGATAAGACTCTTGGAAATGGAAATGGATTGTGTGCAAAAAGACATAACAAAAATAAGTTCCCTAACTTACCGTAGTCCCTCTACAGACATTTTCCATCTCCCCCTTTCTCTTAAGGAGCAGCATTATTAATGCATTTTTAATGATTTACTACTATGATAGGAGACAATACTTTTTAAAAATCATTTTATTGGGGGTTCATACAACTCTTATCACAATCCATACATACATCCATTATGTCAGGCACATTTGTACATTTGTTGCCATCATCATTCTCAAAACATTTGCTTTCTACTTGAGCCCTTGGTATCAGCTCCTTAGTCCCCCCCGCCCCCTCATGAACCCTTGATAATTTATAAATTATTGTTATCTTGTCATATTTTACACTGTCTGACATCTCCCTTCACTTACTTTTCTGTTGTCCAACCCCCAGGGACGGGGTTATATGTAGATCCTTGTAATCGGTTCCCCCTTTCCACTCCACCCTCTAGATATCCCCACTCTCACCACTGGTCCTGAGGGGTTCATCTGTGCTGGATTCCCTGTGTTTCCAGTTCCTATCTGTACCAGTGTACATACATCCTCTGGTTTAGCTGGATTGTAAGATGGAATTGGGATCATGATAATGGGAGGAAGGAAACATTTAAGAACTAGAGGAAAATTGTATATTTCATCATTGCTACACTGAACCCTGACTGGTCTCCTCCCTGGAACCCTTCTGTAAGGGGATGTCCAACTGCCTAAGATGGGTTTTGGTTCCCTACTCCCGCACTCCCCTCATTCACAATGATATGGTTTTTTGGATAGGAGACAATATTTTATCTCATGTGGTGCTCTCTTCTCTTCCATCTTCCCACTAGTTACATACAACTGGTTTTTAAATTTTAAATGTTTTTAATGCACTATATAAATAATCTTTATGCTCATTATTATGATTATGATTTCATTATTACACAACTTTTTTGTTTCCCTGAAATTAACTGCTCCAGAAAAAAATTGTTTAATTTGAATAGCCAAGTCTTCCCATATCTTCCAGCCATGAGTTTTTTTCAATAGATTTACTTTGTAGCTTAAAGATTTTAAGTAGCTATTCATTACCAGTTATTTTTTTAATCTTAGAGTATATGCTTTAATTTGTTTACAGTATTTCTGGGTCTAGAGATCCTTGTGGTCTTCATTTATAAGGTTTTTTTTAAAGATCATTTTATTGAGGGCTCTTACAGCTCTTATAACAATCCATACATCAATTATATCAAGCATATTTGTGCATATGTTGGCATCATTATTTTCTAAACATTTTCTATTTGAGCCCTTGGTATCAGCTCCTCTTCCCCCCCACCCCTTATAAATTGGGGGTCCAATTTTTAAGTTCCTAATGAACATTATGATGGAATTCTGGTGGTGCAGTGGGCTTAACATTTAACTGCTAAGAGAAAGGTAAGTGGTTCAAACCCACAAACCATTCTTCGGGAGAAAGAAAAGGCAGTGTGCTTCCATAAAGATGTGTAGCCCCAGAAGCCTGTGGAACAGTTCTACTCAACCCTATGGAGTTGCTGTGTGTCAGAATTGACTTGATGCTTTTACATTGGAGTGTTATGTATCAGTCTGTATCCTGGGTTTCAGGGATTCAGCAGTGACCCAAATCCCTACTCTTCTGGTACCTTCATTCAAATGGAGAAAGACCCAAAGTAGAAGAACAGTAAATCACATGAGACATTAGAGAGTGGGAAAGTGGTAAGTGTTGCAGCCACAGGAGAAATATGAGGGTGTCTACTCTTGTGAAGTTATCTTTCAAAAACATACAGGGGCAGTCCTATTTGGTCCTGTGGCAGCAGTTCTCAACCAGTGGGTTTTGACCCCTTTGGGGGTCAAACGACCTCTTCACTGGGGTCACCTAAGACCATCGGAAAACACATTATTTCCGATGGCCTTAGGAACCGAGGCATCGCTCCTCTGTCTCCAGGGGGTCCACCCACACACAACTACCCAGTGAAGACTATTAACCATGCTACACTATGCTTCAAGACAAAATTTCATTTATTTGTAATTAGAAATAAATATTTCACAATATATAAGTACATATTGTTTTTGTGATTAATCACTATACTTTAATTATGTTCAATTTGTAACAATGAAAATATATCCTGCGTATCAGATATTTATATTATGATTCATAACAGTAGCAGAATTACAGTTTATGATCTTTTTATTGTCATATGTGTAGTAATACATGTTATATTGTTGAAATTTGAATGGATATTGTTTAGGATAATATATCATTTTATCATATGAGTGGTAATTTTTACTCTTCTTGATTCAATGTTTTAGCTGTAGCTGTCATCTAATTTGGTTTTGCTTATTTTTAAGCAGATGATGGTGGCGCTACCCCAGTACAGGATGAGCGGGATTCGGGCTCAGACATTGAAGATGATGTAAATGAACAACAGTCTGGATCAGACACTGGGAGTGTAGAACACCATTCAGAGGTATCATTTAAACAACATCTTTGGAGAGGTTTTTCCTTGTGTTTTATTAGACTTGTTTTGTTTAAGGATCTCTAGTGGCACTGTGAGATAAGTCTTGGGCCCCCAAATTATAAAGTTTATTAACAGTGTTAATAAAATAAAATCAGGAAAACGTTTCAATAAATCAATCAATCACGACTTTGATAGAAACTACAACATGTAAAAATGTTATGGCTAAATTTCTTTTAACGACTTTTAAGTTCTATGATTTTCTTTGTTTTATTGGTGTATAATTGGCATTAATTCACAGACAATTCAACACTTAAGTCATATTAAGAACAGTTGTCTGATCATCACCAAAATAATCAATTTCAGAATCTTTTTTTCTTCCTTGTACTTGTTGTTAGCTGTCTATTTTCCTCCAGTCTGCCCTGCCATGCCCCTTGGTGATTATCTATTTATTTATTTATTCACGCCAACAGCCTTACATTATTTATTTATTGTTAGACTTGACGAGGAAGCAAAAAAAAAACAAGGAATAAATCAGATTTGCCAATAGAAGCTCAATTGATCAGATGGGGACAAAAGTCTTGATGCAACACATGATTTGAGACTAGGAAAATGCGGTCATGCGTGCCATCCCTCGGGGGCTCCTTACAGACCCAGCTTGGTTCTTCTCCAATGTCTTCTTTTGGAGTTGTACCTGATTTTATTACCGGTTTTCATTCGAATCCATTAGGGCATGGGCCAATTCTGTTTCTGTTTCTTGGCCAGGAATCTCTTGATCCTAAAAGTCTTATGAGACGACATGGTGAAGTCGGAGGAACACCACACTCAGGATGGCAGAGAAACAGAGAGGGAGAAGAGGACCAATTATTTATTTTTAAAGATCATTCCATTGGGGGCTCTTGCTCATAACAATCCATACATCAGTTGTATCAAGCATATGTTGGTACATTGTTACCATCATCATTTTCTAAACATTTACTTTCTATTTGAGCCCTTGGTATCAGCTCTTCTTTTTTCCCTCCCCCCTCCTACCCTCGTGACCCCTTGATAAATTATAAATTATTAATATTTTCATATTTTACACCAACTGCTGTCTCCCATTCCCCATGGTTTCTGTTGTTTTTTCCCCTGGGGTGGGGGTGGTTATGTATCAGTTATTGTGATTGGTTCCCCTTCCTCCCCTCCTTTTCCCACCTTCCCCTTACCCTCCTGTCATCCTTACTTCTATTTCTGTTCCTGAAGGGTTTATCTAACCTGAATTCCATATGCGTGAGGTCTTATCTGTACCAGTGTACATGTTCCGGTCTAGCCAGAACTGAAAGGCAGGACTGGGGTCATGATAGGTTAGGGGTGAGGGAAGCCTCAGTGAACCAGAGGAATATTGTGTGTTTCATCGGTGCTATACTGCACCTTGGTTGACTTCATCCCTTCTATGTGACCCTTCTGTGAGGGCAGGTCTGTTATTTACAGATTAGTTTGGGGTCTCTTCTCAGACCCCCTTATTCTCAACAATATGTTTTTTTGTTTGTTTGGGGTCTTCTGATGTGTGTTACCTGATCCTGCCAACACCTCATGATCTCACAGGCTGGTGTACTTCTTCCCTGTGGGCTTGTTGTTTCTGTGCTAGATGACTGCTTGTTTAACTTCAAGCTTTTAAGACCCCAGATGCTGTATCTTTTGATAGCCGGGGACCCTCAGCTTTCTTCACTACATTTACTTGTGTGCCCATTTTGGTCTTCATTGATTGGTAGGGAGGGTGAGCATCCCAGAATGCCAGGTTGTTAGAACACTGCGTTCCATTGAGGACGGGCTTGAGCGGAGGCCCAAAGTCTGTACACTTCCTCATTGTATTGCCATATCAATATATAGAGAGAGGCCAATACCTCTTTTTATGAATTAATATATTTACATAAATGCACATCTATGTTTTACTTCTGCCCATAGCTTTGCTTCCTATATCTTTCATCTGTTTCCTTTTACCTACCTCCTGTCCCACCATCACACCCACCCTTCTTCTGCCTCTTAGTAACTCCTCTCAGCTAGATTGCTGTTGTTTCAACACCACCAGGATCTCTATGACCTCCTCATTATTGATTTTAATTCCCTTGTTGTTTCCCTGTCTATGGCGTTGTTTGCTAACTGCTCCTTTCCCCTGCCTCCTCCTCCCCCAAGTGCCTCCCCCCAAGCCCCTTCCCCAGTGCTTTCTCCTTGGGCTTGCTTCCCATGACTATCTTATGTAGGATAGGCAAAATGACAATAACAGAGACAAAACAAAGAAAACAAAAGGTTGAATAAAAATTTTTTTAAAACCCTAGCAAGAAAAAAGCTTGAAAAAGCTTTTTTTTACATAATTTCAGGTCTGACTGCTGACCTTTCTGACTGTCTCCCTACTGGTCCTGGGGTTTCTGGGAATGCCCCTCCTAGCCTGAAGTCTATTTTGGGGGCTCCTCAGCAACTTTGTGGCTTTGCTCCTGTTGCTGATCTGTTATGTTCCCTTGGTTTGCCCCAGTGTGTGTGTGTGTGTCAGGGGGTTGGGTGGGGGGGGCGGGCGGGGAGGCGGCGCCTGTCAGACTGGACTCACTCCCCGCTGTGTGTCCCTAGTATTGTCCTCTGTTGCGGTATGCTTCGGTGACATGTCTCCAGCTCTTTGGAGGGACATTATCCTCAGGGCTTGGTGTGCTGATATGGGGCCTAGTCCCTCACTCATTATTTCCTTCTTGGTTTGCTTCTGTGTGGCCGTGGTGGGCCGGCCCTTCACCCCAACCTGTAGGCTTAGTGTTGTCCTTTGTAGCACATACCTAGGTAATTATTAGTCCAGTTATTATCTCTATAGGGTTACCTATCCTGGGTTTCATAATACAGAAAATCATGTAAAACAACGAGAAACAAATCAACAATGACAAAACAGAAGCGCCTTGATTGAAAAGAAATAGAAAATATTAAAAACTAAAATAACTTTAAAATGGGTCAAAAGAGAGATCAAATGATAACGAATAGATTTTAACCTCCGTACCTTTGCTATAATAAACTTTACAATGTTTTTTGCCTGACAGCAAAGCTGTTCACATCCCTGCAATAAGGTCAGGGAGGATTCATTCACCAGAGGCTTAATCCATGTGTGGACTCTGCACATGGATCTTGGGCTTCCACAGTCATCCAACTGGGTGTTCAGAATTTAAGCTCTTGTAGAGTTCCCCCCTCTGGATTTGAATTTTATTATTTACAGTCCTCAGATCACACAGGCTGGTGTGCTTCTTCCATGTGGACTTAGTTTACACCTCACTCAAACTGCTGCTTGTTTGAAGACAAGCTTTTAAGGGCCCCAAACGTTATTCTTATAGATGGGCATTACATGATTTAAAAAAAAAACAATTTTTTTTTAATTGTAAATCATGTGAGGGTTTACATTTCAGATAATCAATTTTGCATTCAACTGTTTAAACCACAAGTCAGCTCCCCAACAGTTTACCCTTCTCCTACTCCTTGATTTTCCCTCTCGTGGACTACTATCTTCCATTTCACTCAAGTAACACCCATTAGCAGTCTAGTTCATTGCTTTTTCTTCCCTCCCCACCTTAGGACAGTAGTCTTATAATATTTGTCCTCTTGTGCTTGGCCAGTTTCACTCAGCATAATATTCTCCAAGTCCATCCATGCTGTGAAATATTTCCTGCTTAGATCCTTGTCTTAGCACTGCAAAATATTAGGACTTTTCATGTTTATGCATCATACATGCACAGAACATTGTCTGATTTTAAGTAGTAGGTGTAGTGCTTAGAGATGATATCATTGACTTTGTCCTTTGACGTGTCATTAGAATTGTCATACATTCAACAGATACTTATTGAATAGCGAACATTTGCTATGTGTCACTGTAACTTAATAGTATCAGACCTTCTGTACTTCTACAAGAAAGAATGAGAATCAAGGTCAGCACAAAACTGGTATGTATGAGGTGGAGGTCAGGCACACTTTCTCTTTACAATTTTTCTAAGTTTTCTGAAACCAGTCTCCCCTCTCCTGCTCCTCACCTATAGTCACTGAGCCTTGTTGGGTGATTTTATACATCCTGTTTGCATCGTAGATGACCCATCCCTTTGAGTTCTGGAAACTAGAAGAATTACTGGGCAGGCTACAGCCCCATCATTTATTTTTGTAAGAATTATAAACTCAAGGCTAGAAAGGCTATATATACGAGAAACCCATTGCACTGCAGCAAGGTTCTTTTTCAGATACTCTGAACAGACCCGTGACTCAGAAAGGGTACTTGCACCTACCCACCAACCGTCCCCGACATTCTCTTCTTGTCCGTTGTGTTTTCCAGTGGTGAGGAAAAGACAGGAGACAGTGCACATGTTTAAAATTGTATCATTTGTGAAAGGGTAATGCATGCTGTGGAGAAGGAAGAAAATGAAAGAGAAGAGTGCCAAGGTGAAGAGCAGGTTTCAGTGCCACCGTGACCTTATCGACTAGAACAGAACTGCTCCATAGGATGTCTGAGGCTAGACGTCTTTATGGGACGCCCATGGAACCGCTGGTGGGTTGGAACCACCAACTTATCGATTAGCAATGTAGCTCTTACTGTGAAAGTGACATCGTAGCAGTCAGGAAGGGATGTGACATGCACTATGATGGGAGAACATTCCAGGCAAAGGACCTCAGGTGGGAGTGTTCTTGGTATCTTCAAGGAACATTCTCAGGGGGCCGATGTAGCTAGAGTATAGTAAGGAAAGGTGAGGCCAGAGAGCTAATTGTAGATGGGGAAAAAGCTTATCTTTTAGTTACTTTTATATCATTTAGTTTTTTTGTATTTTAAGGTGCAAAAAGAGACCTCCCCAAATCTCTTATAATTTAAGGAGAGTATTTATTAAGTCTTAGGAAAAGAAAAGTCAAGAATATCATCTGGATGAGAGGCCATCAGCATGAGGTCATAATGGTGTCAAAGGGTTTGTGGATATTCAGAGACTTTAAAAGGATCTGGAAATGGCAATGGAAAACGCATAGAATCATGA